TCTGAATGTGGGTCAGCTGTTGCTGTTTCTTGACAAGGGGGTCCATAACAGAAACCCTGGCTTTAGGGTCTACAGGTGGATGGGGTCTATGGACTTCTGATTGGTCCTTGGTGTAGTGGAGGCTTGACTTTGGACAGCTTAGATGAAAGTGGGAGGGTGTCCCAGGCACTCTGTTGGAGGTTGCCCTTTTCCCTGTGGGGAGACCAAAGCATAGATCTTGGAGTTTGGGTTCCTAAGTGAAGGGGCATTCATGGTACTCTTGGTGCTTTTGGGGGCTAGTTCTTTGCTCAGTGGGGTGTCCTAGGTGGAGAATTTTGGTGGAAGACCTGCAGTTGTGTGGAAGAACATGGATATCTAATTGTAGGAAGGAGCTTGTCCAGTGCTCCACATCTATACGGAGAGGCGTGGCCCTTATGCTAGAGGCTGTCCACTGCTGCATGAGTACAGGACACCCCTGAAATGCCAGGAACCACCTCACCTTGGGCCCTGGCTAGCTCCTTCAAGGACCAGCAGCCCCCTCTGAACTTTTGAAACTAAACACTGGTTTCTCTCTCTCCTTCTTCTCCCCCTCTCGATGGGGGACGGTGGCCAGACAGCCTGGGAAGTGGGGCCTGCTTCAGCCACACCTGGCCACCTCCCAGGAACCCCCAGCCCAGGCCTGGAAAGCCCGCGTCTTCTCTGGACTCTCCGTCTCGATGCTGGTTTCTGGTGCTGTGCTCACGAGCCTGCTCTGGAAGCTCCTCCTAGGGCCTCTTGTCCAGGCCACTCCACCCGGGCACAGGCAGCCCGGCGGTGGGCAGCCGGTGGTGGGGCGAGCTTCCCCGCCTGCGCGGAGTGCGAAGGTGGGGCTCGGCCGGTGCAAGACTGTGGGGCAGGTGTGTGCGCTTTCGAGAGGCAGGTGCGGTGTGCGCAGCCCGGCGGCGGGCGGCTGCAGGCTTGGTAAAGGGCGCAGGTGCGCGGCCTGCAGATGCACCGCCAGCCGCTCCGGCGCGGGCCCGCAGCCCAGCGCCCTAAGGGCAAGCCCGCTGCTGCCCCCTCCCAGCGGTTGCGTAGTCCCGGCGGGGCAGGAGCGAAGTGGGGGACCCTCGGAGATTCCCGAGTCCCCTCCCGCCCGCTGGGCCTGCCAGCCCTGCCTGTGGGGGTGCAGGGGAGAAGGCAGATGCTCCAGGCCGGCGGGCTCCGCCCACAGGTACCGGAAGGAGAGGTGGGATCCGAAAGGCGGGGCGAGGCTCTGGTCCCTCAGCACCAGGCCCTGCCCGTGGCTTGCAGGCCAGCCCCCCTCTTCCTTGCTCCCCATCTTGCTTTTGCTAACTGCCTTTTGGGTCTTCTTCCCAGCTCCTTGACTAAAGTTAACGGAGCTTTTAAGGAAGACACTAGATCGTAGTCACTGCTTCCCGCTACGGTGCCCAATATGGGTCTATAAAAAGTCACCAAAATCTGAAAACGCATTATGTGCCAAGCTGAGAGAGGAAAACAAGTGTGTGGTCTCATTTTATTACTTTTTTTGTGTGTTTCTTCTTAACGTGTTCTCACTTTAAATTCCCATTGTTAGTTTAAGAAACTGAGGCACAAAGAGGTTGCTGTGCTCTGGCTGTAGGAGTGGGATTCAGAGCACAGCATGTTCTTAGGGATCAGGGGGAAATGCTCCTTTCCCTCCTGATGGAAAGTGTCAGTGTGGCGAAGCCAGGGCGTCCTGTAAAGTGTCTATGGGGCGTGCAGGTGGTGCTTAGTGTCAGCTCTAAGCACTTTCTCACAGCTGTGGAGACCCCTGCCCACCTCACAGCACTGTTTGAGAGTCAGATTAAACCGTGGCCCTGTGGAGACCCAACCAGCTGGAGAGTGCAACAACTTCTGTGCCAGGGTGCAGTGACTGCCATCCCCTGCTGTCGAGCACACCCACACAGGCACACTTCTTTGGCATTTCAATACCATTATTTATTTAAAAGTCCTATACATCATGAATCTCACATCACCTTCACCCCAGGAGGTGACTCACATTCCACCCCAACTCCCTTCTAGTCTGTCCTGGGGTGGGAGTGCATGGAGACATCACCCCTGCCCATTTAGGCAAGTTGCCTGAAAGGCAAAAACTTCCAGAAGCCCCTGCACCTCACCCTAGCAGTTCTCCAGAGCAGGGACTTTGCTTGCCATCCACACCACTGCTGGGCCGCTTGTAATGCCCTCACCTCCAGGGCACAGTGCCTGTCCTTAGCCTGGAGCTCAGCCAGGGACGCCTCTGTGCTCAGGGCCTGGGCCCCCTCCAGTTCTTGCTTCCAGTCCCCTGCCTCAATTAGTCATGATGTTTAGGGAAGCCAGGTCCATTCCTAGGGTACCAGTCAATCAGAGAACTCCCCAGATGAAAATAGCCCAAATGACATGCCACCAGGATACCAGGCTGAGGTGGGTCCCAGGCTGGGCCCACCAGCACCTTGGGACAGTGAGTCACCCAAGAGACCTTGCTGTGAATGGCTCCAAGGACAGGCGGGGTCTCAGCCCTTGGCCACCAACCACTGATGTTCAGGAGCCTGCCTCTGATAGAGGCACAATCTTGAACACAGCCTTTGACCTGGCCCCTGACCTGGAAAATAAATTCCTGCCAGGATATCTGGTTTTTTATGTTAGCTCTTTTGAGTTCAGGTGGTTCTTCCTGTTTCCTGGTCTTTGATCATTCTGTGTTTTAGGGCCAGAGGAGCCTATGGGACTGGTTCTTCCCTCTCTGGTGGTTGGGGTACCACCTGGGAACTAGGGACATGGCCAGGACCAAGGCAGCCAGGAGATGGGGAGGGGTTGGGGGAGGAGTGAGGCTGCTCTCTCTACACTCCCTGCAGGATCTGGGCTTAGATTCTCCAAGACACTTTGATAATGGGATGAATGAGGGCTGGTATGAGGTATTTCTTTTCTACCAGGTAGCAAACACTTCTTCCAGTTACAGGCAGTTGAAGACTTGGGAACGTTGAAGAACAGGAACAAAACCTTGGGGTTGGACACCCTATGTGCATGTGGGTAGGGTCCTTCCAGTGGGGGAGCAGGGTTTGGCAGGTGTTCTTTGCTGCATGGAGGGTGAGAGTAGGAGTGCCAGAGCAAGGGCTCTGCATGTGGGTTAACTGTTGCTATTTCTGACAAGGGGATCCATGACAGAGACCAGGCAGGTGGACAGGGGTCTATGGCTTCTGATTGGTGGTCCCAGACTAGCCTTGACGGATGGGTGCCTGATTGAAAACAGCTTAGATGGAGGTGGGCAGGTGCCTCAGACACTCTCTTTGGGAAACTATATAACCTAGGTTGTCTTGTTTTCAGATTTCCGGAGTTTACAAATAAAATGCTTTGAATTTTAAAAGGCCAATAAAATGGATCCTGAAGTTATTTGAACATACTCTCCAAATAGGAACCTGCAATTTGAGCATTCAGACAGACATCAAGTCTTCTCTCTAGCTTCAGAGAACCAGCTACTTTTAAAAGACTGTATGAGTTTAAGGTGTACAGGTATTGATTTGATACATTTATATGAGGGTATGATTGCCACTGTAGTGTAGCAAACACTCCTGATAGCAGATGTCTGGCTGGAGCCCAGGAGGGACTCTGGGTGGGGAGCATATACACAGGCTTTGGAGGATGGATTTGGACATCTACCCACAGTGGGAAGGGTGTTATCTCCACCTTCTAATTCCTCCTCCCTTCCCCAGCTCTAGTCTCAGTCTGTGAATTGAATGACCCTAAGTAAATCCCAGGCTTGGTAGTTCTGTCTTTCCTCTGGGCCTGGGAGCTCACTATCTACAGCCACAATTTTTCAAGAATGCTGCCTCAGGTTTCTGGGTCACCTGGAAACTTCCTCAGCCCCCACCCCAAGTACCAAGGAGACTGGATGCATCCTGTTTTGGGGAGCCCACTGCATTCACCTGTCTGCCCCCAACCAGTCTCTGTAAAGGTCAAAGGGTTTCACCCACCAACGCAGACTCCTGGCTGGGACCCGGAGAAGCACTGCCAGTACCCGACCCCAGCAGCCTAGCAATGTATTGGCCTGTGGCTCTGGTCGGCACTGCACATCCCGCCCAGGCGCAGGGCTGTGGACTACCAGCTCAAAATATGAAATCGGACCTACCCTGCACGTTGGAAAACGCAGTCAAGTGTCCTTGACTTTTGTGTATTCAGTACCGGTTGGGTGTAAAATGGAGAATTTCCCTCCTAAGCATACGTAAAAAAAAAAAAAAAAAAAAAAAAAAAAGAGATTA